GAAGATCACGAAATTACAGAAATATATGTTGCAGTTGATTTTTTAATTTCAGGTTATTTTTGTTTAAATTCATTAGCATATATTACCATACCCAAAAACAATAGAAAAATTAAAATTACCTGAGATAAAAAATTAACTACAACATATATAGCAGTACTACAATGGGCGGAAGTGACGTAGTATGGTGTTTCTATACAAATTAAGATATATTATATACTAAGTATAATGACGAATTATAAATCATGATGCTTATCAAGGTCCTTTTTTTACGGATGTAATGCGCTTCGCGCCTTCCTAATGGAATCACGTCCAGTCTTGAGTTTTTCAATAGGAATAAATAGCATATAGTTGTCAGAATGGTTATTACTAAGAAAATGTCTACTTTAATTGACTGTTTTTTAAATCTAGCGATTTCATCATATATAATCATATATAATTTTCGGCTTTAAGGAAGCAAGCCGCTGAATTCCACTCTAATGTTTCAGTAACTCTTCACCGCGGCTTAAGAGTCCAAAAAAGCTGGTTACTCGCTTCTTTACTGATGAATGATTTTCCTACCGTTGTTTTGTGTCGAGCGTTTGATGTATCACTTGCATGGTCCTTCATTGCAAGCCATGGACTCCTTTCTTGCTCCAACACAGTCCTTTCCCTTCCACTGGCGAGGGGGATTAGTACAGGTTCTTGTTCGTACTTTGACGCCACTGCCACAAGTCACATCGCAGTCAGAGAATGGGCTCCAATCGGAGAAGCCACCATCAACAGCTGTGAAACAAGATCGTGAACAAGAGTTTATCACTGAGGATCCTGCAACCGGCTCCATTAAACCTGGACGACCCTGCAGGGACAATACGCACCAATTTACTTTTTCTAGGTCTTTTACAGCTAGAGATTTCGTCAGGACTACCGATTTCAATTAAATCTTAAAGCGAGTACTTTTATCCCAGCTAAGAATAATTCTCTCGAGGAACATCTACCGACAAAACGTCTTTAGCCTTCTTTCAGCTGGCTACTTTTTCGCCTTTCCACATGAAAGTTTGGCAAATTTTCTTCATCTTGTAAAGTGTCCCGTCGTTTTTCTCTGTCTGCGTACAAACCTTTTAAATATACGTTTCGAGAGAGTCTTCCGAAGACATTTTGACCGCAGAAAAAAGTTTCAAATTTGGTGGGCCGTATTGGAGAATACGGCCCTCAAAATTGACCAATCGCAGCCCGCGTACTAACTAAGATATATAATAAGCTACAATAATAAGATTTATTACAAGGGCCAGCTGTTAATTTGGAATAAAGCCGAAATAGCTCACTCATTGATCAGTACCCGTTAATGGCAAAAAAATTTGATAGCAGTTTTTTAAGTAACACTGTCTTTTCGTCCTTACTAACCTGAGATCAGGCCCAATTTTAGCGGTTCTCATACATTCTCTCCAACGGCCAGCGCGTCGCCTTGCCCGCCGGAATGTTTACAAAGTGGAACAAAAATTGGGCCTGATCTCAGGTTAGTCCTTACGGACATCCTCCACATAATACGAACGCTTTTGTTATACGGACAGTTCTCTTGGTTCCACTGCAGATATTCGTACGTTCCCTTTACGTCTATAATAGGGTCACCTCCCAAATGCGGAGACTTGGCCTGCTAAAATAGTTACCTTCCTCCATTTATCGTTATACCGTTGCAGATCTCAAAGAGAGTGAAGGAAAGCATAGTGAGAAGGCTTTAAACTGGATTAACACTAGAGGACAATTCTGAGGAGAATCAAGATAGGGGTAAAAGGACTTTTCTGTATAGCCGCCCAGATAGGGAAAGCATTGACAAAAAACTTTCCGCGTCGTAACTTTTGTTGGTTTTTCAGTAGTCTGAAATGCCATATCCGCCCCCCTCCCCCAGCCGCCCCGTGGGGGATAGGGCGAGTAGACTGAGGACATTTCAGACTAGTACTTCAGCCCTTCCTCAGTTACATTGCCAAACTATAATTATCACTTACGCTGACAGATGACTTTCGCCAAGTCATCGAACAAGTCATTTAGTTCTGTATAATTTGACAAACGGTAGGCGCGGTCATCGACGCCTCTTAATCCCCTCTGGTGTTTCGACTTTGCACCCGTTGCGGTTACCACCAAGCGTGCACCTTTTCCCTAAAATGAAAAAAATATATTTAGCTTTAATAATAAAACATCCTATAGGACAAAAAATCTTACCTGCAATCAAATTATGTACTTCTTAAAGCATAACTGACAGACTTGCACTATAATGTGTGAAACGTGGAACTTAAATGACGAGGAATTTGAAACTGAAAGGGAAGCTGCAGATGAGTTCACGTCTTTCTACATCTGTCGAAAACAATCATAACGTATTTTATCCCTCAATATATAAAAATTTTATTAGTTGCAAGGAAACAATTTAATGTTTTGTTCCATAGATGCTTGGTAGGTCGGCAGGTCTCAGTATTTAATTTTCCCAAGTAGGAAATTGAAAAAATCATGAACTACTTCAGTCTAAAGATGCCGGCGGTATTCATATGATTTCCAGACGATTGCTACCACTGCTGAGTACGATCTCAAAAGTGATAAATCAGGCCTTAAGTAAAATTTATGAGATTTCGGGAGGAAATATACAAGAAATTAATGGTTGGCTATTTGCTCATTTATTTGTAAAACACGCCTTAGTTTACTATTAATTTTCTTGGTCACATGACCCAAACTGATAATCAGCCCAAAATTCTTAAAGCCTCCAGTTCTAAAGGGAATAACGCCCCCCCCCCCCACCAACCCCACCCCCCATTGTATATAATGGTTCCATTAAATGGGCATTTTTGAAATGAGAATGCAATTTTGCCAAAATGTTTACGTGACCCTAACTGCCCAAAACACGTTGCGTAATAAAGAAAAGTTCTCATCATTGTATTAGTTCACTGAAAAGCGATATACCATGTGACGTCTTAACTGCCGGTCAGTCAGGTGAGGAGGTAGCAAAACACATATTACCTTCAAAGGTGATGAAATAGTTTCAGTCATGTCTACCAACAAACCAAGGTCCAGTTTGCAACGGAACTTATCATCTAAGAGAAATAAGGAAAGTCAGATAAATATATGAGATCAAATGTTTATACGATATGTCATAATATTCCCGTTATCTTCATATCATCAGCCCTGGTGCAACTATGTGGGCACTCTCAGTCGCTTCAACATCCTGGTCAGTATGGGCTAATGGCAGAAGACAGGCACAAGCTTTACCACCTAGCCCTCCAGAGACACCAACCTAAGTACTCGGATTTGTTGTGCCAATCGTTTTTAGCAATCATTTTACCCTCTATGCCAAGTTTTTAATGAATCAAATATTAAGTTGTTAAGGGTTGTATTTCGCACTCCTTAAGTATACTCCGGCGTTGCGGCGTTGTTTATTCACAAGTATGATTAGTAGGATTAACAAGTGTAACTCGTTGGTGATCCTACATCAAAAATGCCATTCTGGTGAAACTATATAGGTTAGTTGGCCATCATTTTGATAATCAGGTTTTTTTTTTTCATATCTCCAGAGAATTTCGCCCTCTTTATAATACCCAAGCTTCTTGTTTTTTGTTTTTTGTTTTTTTTTTTGTCATTATTTTTAAATAACAATAAAAATACAATTAAATACAAGGGTTCATTGTTGTATTTTGAAGCATTTAGGATTAATACATAAGTATCGATATATGAGCAAAGCTCAAAATTTTGCATAAGCATTATATTTAAGTTTCTCTTGGGGCCATTTTTATTCCCAAGAGAAACTGAAGATTAAAATAGTCGAGGATCTTCGTCGATATTAGAATAAACCCCTAAACAAGACCAATCTAGGGGTGGCTCAGGGTTTATTCGGACCCCGAAAGGAAACCATACGGAAAGAGAAACTAAATAAAAGCTTCCCTTCGTGAGCTCCCCAGATGAGATCAAAACCTGCTGACCCCTAGGCGAGACGGCGGACACTCCCCCCCACCCCCTACCCATCAAATGGCATCTCCCCTTCCTGTGGTTAACTGACCCAAGATTCATTTCTCTCTATGTAATCTACCTTTTTTTAATACTGTGGAAATATTCCGGAAAAGAGAAAAAGAAAACAAGCTTTTTGTTACCTCTTACTCCAAGTACAAATCGCTGGCAGTTGTTTTTGACATCATCGGAGCAGTTAGAGGGGAGGCAGCAATAATAAGATCCACTGTCAGAATACTGCAAGTCGTTCACTGTCAATACATATGGCGCGTAAATCCCACTGCGATGTATGCGGTATTTTGCATCTGAACCACCTGTAAAGGTATTTTAAAACTGAGAACAAACTTCCTTATTGAAAAAAGGCCCATAGACAAAACTAACGCTTCAATAAGTACAGTACAAACTTCCTTTACGTGTACCACCTCGATACCGTGAACGCATTGTGACTCATGTATACTTGTCCGAATATTGATTAACTCAATTGACATGCAAACAAAAGCATCCTATTCCATTTTTTTTAGAAGTAATTATATGCGCCAGTCTTGTAAGCTGGTGGAGAGGTTAGGCCATCCCAATAAAACGTTTCGTTTGCCATCGCCCGACCGACCCATTTTTTTCAAAAAGTAAAAAAACAGAAATTCCAGATTCACTAGTCAAAGAAGCAAGTATTTTAATTTAAAAGCACACGATCTTGTTTTGTTAACAACAATTGGCATGATGTGATGTTCTTGTTTTTGATTAACATCAATACTACGTTTTTTAAAGGCTGTTTAGATATTTGATAGTCGAAAAGACCACGTTTTCGAGTTGACTTGAGGCTTTCTTATTTAGCGGCCCGGCCATCTTTTTTGTCCGACCGACCGACCCACCATCACAAGAGACGGGGCGATGGGAAACGAAACATTTTATTGGGATGGCCTTATACGTTTACGCGATGAGATGCACAACTGGCCCAACACGTACTTATGCAAGAGCGTATATTGTCTTCACCACTCTTCTGAAACTTCCATTCAACGTTTAATGGGAAACCTTTGGCGGCACACTGAAAAGAAACACTTTCTTCCTTGAATTTGTTCAATTCAGTATCCCCTTGTGGTTTATCAAACCACGGAGCAACTGCAAAAAAGGCAAGAATATCATTTAAGATCATGAACTCTTAGAACTTACGTATGACCATCGTGAAAACCGTTTCTTAACGTAGCTACTTCTCCCATTTTCTTTAGGGTATTGTTTAGATAATTATCCTTATACTATAACTATTCATTTCAAACTTCAATCCCTGGTTTTGTTGTTATTGGCTTAGACTTGCTTACACTTCAGATGTACAGCCAATCACATTCCAGATTGGTCAGATCTTTTGCAGGTGAGAATTTATGCGTGAAAATATGTCCCCTCAATGAGGTTGCACCATTCGAACTATGTTCTTATGGTGGAAACTACCAAAGACTAATTGTATACTCACTTGTAATCATAACACTGTCTGATACTTTGTAACGTCTTATTCCGCGAAGCGAAACCTCAAGAACACAAGTATAATTTCCACCATCTCTGGCCGCGGCATTTTTTATAACAAGCGGTACGGGAGAGTATTGGTCCGGGTATCTCACGCTTTGCTGTACAACACCATTTTTAAACCATGAAATCCTTTTCAGCCGAGAACTCCACGAGGGGCGAGTGATGTTACAAAAGACTATGATGCTGTCACCGTGTTGCAGCATGTTGGCTTCAGTCACAGATATCGAAGGAAGTTCGTCTCCTAAAATGAAAAATGTGTGAGCAATTAAGTAAAATACGATGAAATACGTGAAGTTTAAGTAATGATCCGGGTAAGGTGGATAGCAATTTCTTTTGTTATGCGGCAACGGTGCTTTCCCCACATAGGAATGTTCTCATTTTTACACAGAGAATGCATAAACCTACATGAAGGCCACCGTTAATGGCAAAAAAATTTGATAGCAGTTTTTTAAGTAACACTGTCTTTTCGTCCTTACTAACCTGAGATCAGGCCCAATTTTAGCGGTTCTCATACATTCTCTCCAACGGCCAGCGCGTCGCCTTGCCTGCCGGAATGTTTACAAAGTGGAACAAAAATTGGGCCTGATCTCAGGTTAGTCCTTACGGACATCCTCCACATAATACGAACGCTTTTCTTATACGGACAGTTCTCTTGGTTCCACTGCAGATATTCGTACGTTCCCTTTACGTCTATAATAGGGTCACCTCCCAAATGCGGAGACTTGGCCTGCTAAAATAGTTACCTTCCTCCATTTATCGTTATACCGTTGCAGATCTCAAAGAGAGTGAAGGAAAGCATAGTGAGAAGGCTTTAAACTGGATTAACACTAGAGGACAATTCTGAGGAGAATCAAGATAGGGGTAAAAGGACTTTTCTGTATAGCCGCCCAGATAGGGAAAGCATTGACAAAAAACTTTCCGCGTCGTAACTTTTGTTGGTTTTTCAGTAGTCTGAAATGCCATATCCGCCCCCCTCCCCCAGCCGCCCCGTGGGGGATAGGGCGAGTAGACTGAGGACATTTCAGACTAGTACTTCAGCCCTTCCTCAGTTACATTGCCAAACTATAATTATCACTTACGCTGACAGATGACTTTCGCCAAGTCATCGAACAAGTCATTTAGTTCTGTATAATTTGACAAACGGTAGGCGCGGTCATCGACGCCTCTTAATCCCCTCTGGTGTTTCGACTTTGCACCCGTTGCGGTTACCACCAAGCGTGCACCTTTTCCCTAAAATGAAAAAAATATATTTAGCTTTAATAATAAAACATCCTATAGGACAAAAAATCTTACCTGCAATCAAATTATGTACTTCTTAAAGCATAACTGACAGACTTGCACTATAATGTGTGAAACGTGGAACTTAAATGACGAGGAATTTGAAACTGAAAGGGAAGCTGCAGATGAATTCACGTCTTTCTACATCTATCGAAAACAATCATAACGTATTTTATCCCTCAATATATAAAAATTTTATTAGTTGCAAGGAAACAATTTAATGTTTTGTTCCATAGATGCTTGGTAGGTCGGCAGGTCTCAGTATTTAATTTTCCCAAGTAGGAAATTGAAAAAATCATGAACTACTTCAGTCTAAAGATGCCGGCGGTATTCATATGATTTCCAGACGATTGCTACCACTGCTGAGTACGATCTCAAAAGTGATAAATCAGGCCTTAAGTAAAATTTATGAGATTTCGGGAGGAAATATACAAGAAATTAATGGTTGGCTATTTGCTCATTTATTTGTAAAACACGCCTTAGTTTACTATTAATTTTCTTGGTCACATGACCCAAACTGATAATCAGCCCAAAATTCTTAAAGCCTCCAGTTCTAAAGGGAATAACGCCCCCCCCCCCCACCAACCCCACCCCCCATTGTATATAATGGTTCCATTAAATGGGCATTTTTGAAATGAGAATGCAATTTTGCCAAAATGTTTACGTGACCCTAACTGCCCAAAACACGTTGCGTAATAAAGAAAAGTTCTCATCATTGTATTAGTTCACTGAAAAGCGATATACCATGTGACGTCTTAACTGCCGGTCAGTCAGGTGAGGAGGTAGCAAAACACATATTACCTTCAAAGGTGATGAAATAGTTTCAGTCATGTCTACCAACAAACCAAGGTCCAGTTTGCAACGGAACTTATCATCTAAGAGAAATAAGGAAAGTCAGATAAATATATGAGATCAAATGTTTATACGATATGTCATAATATTCCCGTTATCTTCATATCATCAGCCCTGGTGCAACTATGTGGGCACTCTCAGTCGCTTCAACATCCTGGTCAGTATGGGCTAATGGCAGAAGACAGGCACAAGCTTTACCACCTAGCCCTCCAGAGACACCAACCTAAGTACTCGGATTTGTTGTGCCAATCGTTTTTAGCAATCATTTTACCCTCTATGCCAAGTTTTTAATGAATCAAATATTAAGTTGTTAAGGGTTGTATTTCGCACTCCTTAAGTATACTCCGGCGTTGCGGCGTCGTTTAATCACAAGTATGATTAGTAGGATTAACAAGTGTAACTCGTTGGTGATCCTACATCAAAAATGCCATTCTGGTGAAACTATATAGGTTAGTTGGCCATCATTTTGATAATCAGGTTGTTTTTTTTTTCATATCTCCAGAGAATTTCGCCCTCTTTATAATACCCAAGCTTCTTGTTTTTTGTTTTTTGTTTTTTTTTTTGTCATTATTTTTAAATAACAATAAAAATACAATTAAATACAAGGGTTCATTGTTGTATTTTGAAGCATTTAGGATTAATACATAAGTATCGATATATGAGCAAAGCTCAAAATTTTGCATAAGCATTATATTTAAGTTTATCTTGGGGCCATTTTTATTCCCAAGAGAAACTGAAGATTAAAATAGTCGAGGATCTTCGTCGATATTAGAATAAACCCCTAAACAAGACCAATCTAGGGGTGGCTCAGGGTTTATTCGGACCCCGAAAGGAAACCATACGGAAAGAGAAACTAAATAAAAGCTTCCCTTCGTGAGCTCCCCAGATGAGATCAAAACCTGCTGACCCCTAGGCGAGACGGCGGACACTCCCCCCCACCCCCTACCCATCAAATGGCATCTCCCCTTCCTGTGGTTAACTGACCCAAGATTCATTTCTCTCTATGTAATCTACCTTTTTTTAATACTGTGGAAATATTCCGGAAAAGAGAAAAAGAAAACAAGCTTTTTGTTACCTCTTACTCCAAGTACAAATCGCTGGCAGTTGTTTTTGACATCATCGGAGCAGTTAGAGGGGAGGCAGCAATAATAAGATCCACTGTCAGAATACTGCAAGTCGTTCACTGTCAATACATATGGCGCGTAAATCCCACTGCGATGTATGCGGTATTTTGCATCTGAACCACCTGTAAAGGTATTTTAAAACTGAGAACAAACTTCCTTATTGAAAAAAGGCCCATAGACAAAACTAACGCTTCAATAAGTACAGTACAAACTTCCTTTACGTGTACCACCTCGATACCGTGAACGCATTGTGACTCATGTATACTTGTCCGAATATTGATTAACTCAATTGACATGCAAACAAAAGCATCCTATTCCATTTTTTTTAGAAGTAATTATATGCGCCAGTCTTGTAAGCTGGTGGAGAGGTTAGGCCATCCCAATAAAACGTTTCGTTTGCCATCGCCCGACCGACCCATTTTTTTCAAAAAGTAAAAAAACAGAAATTCCAGATTCACTAGTCAAAGAAGCAAGTATTTTAATTTAAAAGCACACGATCTTGTTTTGTTAACAACAATTGGCATGATGTGATGTTCTTGTTTTTGATTAACATCAATACTACGTTTTTTAAAGGCTGTTTAGATATTTGATAGTCGAAAAGACCACGTTTTCGAGTTGACTTGAGGCTTTCTTATTTAGCGGCCCGGCCATCTTTTTTGTCCGACCGACCGACCCACCATCACAAGAGACGGGGCGATGGGAAACGAAACATTTTATTGGGATGGCCTTATACGTTTACGCGATGAGATGCACAACTGGCCCAACACGTACTTATGCAAGAGCGTATATTGTCTTCACCACTCTTCTGAAACTTCCATTCAACGTTTAATGGGAAACCTTTGGCGGCACACTGAAAAGAAACACTTTCTTCCTTGAATTTGTTCAATTCAGTATCCCCTTGTGGTTTATCAAACCACGGAGCAACTGCAAAAAAGGCAAGAATATCATTTAAGATCATGAACTCTTAGAACTTACGTATGACCATCGTGAAAACCGTTTCTTAACGTAGCTACTTCTCCCATTTTCTTTAGGGTATTGTTTAGATAATTATCCTTATACTATAACTATTCATTTCAAACTTCAATCCCTGGTTTTGTTGTTATTGGCTTAGACTTGCTTACACTTCAGATGTACAGCCAATCACATTCCAGATTGGTCAGATCTTTTGCAGGTGAGAATTTATGCGTGAAAATATGTCCCCTCAATGAGGTTGCACCATTCGAACTATGTTCTTATGGTGGAAACTACCAAAGACTAATTGTATACTCACTTGTAATCATAACACTGTCTGATACTTTGTAACGTCTTATTCCGCGAAGCGAAACCTCAAGAACACAAGTATAATTTCCACCATCTCTGGCCGCGGCATTTTTTATAACAAGCGGTACGGGAGAGTATTGGTCCGGGTATCTCACGCTTTGCTGTACAACACCATTTTTAAACCATGAAATCCTTTTCAGCCGAGAACTCCACGAGGGGCGAGTGATGTTACAAAAGACTATGATGCTGTCACCGTGTTGCAGCATGTTGGCTTCAGTCACAGATATCGAAGGAAGTTCGTCTCCTAAAATGAAAAATGTGTGAGCAATTAAGTAAAATACGATGAAATACGTGAAGTTTAAGTAATGATCCGGGTAAGGTGGATAGCAATTTCTTTTGTTATGCGGCAACGGTGCTTTCCCCACATAGGAATGTTCTCATTTTTACACAGAGAATGCATAAACCTACATGAAGGCCATTTACGCAATAAAATGCATTTACACTCCACTTTGAAAGGGTGTTTTTTTGTGTTAAAAGGTTTTGACCAATCACAAGAGTTGAAAACAATAGCCAAGAAAAGTTTACAATTTTACATGTTCCCCACATAGGATTTCTTTGTTATTCAAACTGAGACCAGATTTTGTTATTTGGAAGATGGTTGGAAAGTAAGGATGGATATATGTACCGCTTTATGAAGTTTTGTTAACTTTTGCTGTTTAAGCCAATCAGAAGTAAGTACAGACAATAGAAAAGTTAGCACCTTTTTTGCATTCCATCATGTTCGTTGCCGTTGTTGCTATCGTTCTTTTTTTTATGCAGTTAGAATGGGGAAATTGTTTATTTTGCTGCTATTCCCAGCATTTCATTACTGGACGACCGTTAGCGGCTAAAATATGCAAATTTTAGTCTCTGTTATACAGGTTTTTTAACGATTGTTCTAAAGTTCCTCAGGTCATCAAATCCTAGACTATTTGCACTCATTTGAAAGCATATTACTTCTTCTTACTGTTCCAATGCCATTTAGGTATTATCTTTCGGTAATCAGCAAAAACTGGTCGTCTTTATTTCGCTAATCCAACTAAGAAAGCAAACTGCACGATAAAGTGCCTCAAAATCATCAGAAAATTCTCAAAAGTGACACCTAAACTAGACCTAAAAACATGTTTTAGTTAAAGATTAATAGCTATGTTGTCAAGTTATGAAATAAAACTTGTGGCACAACGCGATTCAGAATGGAAGGTTTCAATTCAAATTTAGGCAAATGTTCAATTTGCGTTGCGTGACGAACCGGCTGCTGTCACAGCAAAATCCTCAGTTATTCAAATACTTCCCACTTTTAAGTACGATATGCCTCATTTCCCCACCAAAACCATATTAAAATTCCCTTTTTCCCTTTGCCAATGATATATATTGTTTAAAAGTTAGTTCAGCAAGTAAAAGATACCTTTCCAAGCTTCATTTAATTTCTCACTGCCCCGAACATTCGTGTTAAGTCTGTTATGTCAAGACGGAAAAATACGTTTTCAGAACCAAACCTCTTCTAGCTTAAAATGTGGTCCAGTCTGAAAAAGCTGTATTGATCAGAAGTTAATCGGATCCATCACATTTTAAAATCGACGTTAGAAGAAAAATAAATTTCCCACTGCTTAATTAAGTATGCATGAACAGGGCAGAAAATGTTTGACTAGTTCTTCGCCCCATATAAGGGTATCGGGATTCCGGCATCTGGAAAATTTTGCTTGCGGAATCCGGAATTCAGGGCTTTGGAATCCAGAATAGAGCTCAAGTACCCCACTAAGGAATGAAATCTAGAATCCAAGTTTCACTGGAAAAGACTGGAATCCAGCAACCGGAATCCAGAATCCACGGAATGGGACCAGAATCCAAGACCGTCTTGTATTCGCTAACGTGGGGCGACAGTACTGGACTGTGAACGGCGAATTACTATTTTTCCTTTGTTTACCTTCCACTGATCAGGAGCCCACATTTGAAGACCTTTGTTAATGAAATTTCAATTAGAAGGATTGTTCCTTTTACTGACTGTTTCTTCCTATTAAGAGTGGCCAGTTCTGGTTTCACGCACCAAGAGACAGTCCGGAGTCCAAGGTTAGTCTTGTATCGAAGCCAGTTAATAAAGAAGTTGGCACATGCAAATAATAAAGTTTCAGCATTAGTTTCGAATCGTGCAACATCAGGGATAGTGACCTGAAAATAAAGTGTGGAAGTTCACGCGGTTTTTCCTAACTGATAAAAGTACACGAATGGCAGGACACCATTACTTCTCACCATGAAACCTGTCATCCATCGAAGTCTGAACTAAGTGAAGCAGAGCCAATACTGTCAAAAGATGGTAATCATTGACCTTACGAAAAATCAAGTAGAACAGGTGTGATCTGCTTCCCCAGGAGGACTCCCATACAAAAGTGATGTGGGTGCTCGTCGTTTGCAGATTTTGGTCTCACTTCGGTTGTTTGGGACGGAAAGTAACTAAATATGCTCATTCAGGTATCGCTTAGGGCTGTGCATAAAGAAATTTGCAAAAAAAGAAAAAGCCGTGACGCTGAACTGACAGAAATCTCCTTTAGGGGTAAGTTAAAGCTTGAGCCACACCCACATTGGCCTCCCTTGGGGGTTTAAATTAATTTTCCGAAGAGCAGCCCCTTCACTTTTATATGGGAGTCCTCCCGGGGATTACCCAAAAATATCGCATATAAACTCGGATGATTTTGGCGGCCACCTCGTTCTTCGCATAGAGGACCAAGAAAGCAATATTAGGACCAAGGACAGGCATGTAATTGGTTTGGAGATTGCGAAGATCGTTTACCATCTATTTTAAAGGATGGGATCACGTACGTAAAATATCGTAAAATCATTTCTAATATCCTTATCACTAGTTCCTTAGGGCCGATGGGTATTGTTGTAATCGTAATTTCAGGTTCAGACAGTGATAAACTCAGTAATCCACTCAATTATTTTATTTAGAAATATGCGGGAAGTGAAGATCCAAACATAATGAAGTTATGAAGAAAAGTAGGAAAAGGCTTTACGTCAAATATCCTGACATTAATCACTGTTGCACTATGGCATAACGTTACACAGTCAGCTGATGCACTTGCACATTTAATATCATTTATGAGCTGACGGATTTGAATATCACAAGATACACGCGTGAAACAGAAAGTGATAAGCGCATCCTTTGATAATCTAAACCTTGTGGAGTCGAAGTTACATGAATTGTCAAAATCGTGATGACCTACCTTTAGGCATTACTGAGAGCACTCATAACTATTGTTTGGTACAATGGAGAATTCACCGACAGAATTTTCTATTGAAGCCCAACGTGGACAAAAACCTCTGAATTCGAACAATTAGTAGAGGTGAGAACTGACGCGAAGTCTGAATCCGGCATTTTCAAAGACTTCCCCAGTATGAACATTTCTCCAGGTCGAGATCCCTACACTGTTTTTACGTCTTTTCTCGTCTCACGTCTTGTTAGCGGTTATTACCCTGTTCTTACAGACGCTTTCATTCTACCACGTTAATGTTGTAAAAATACATACATCTGAACAACAGCTGAAGGATCTAGGATCACATTTTTAAAACTTGGCCTTTGGATCCTCCGTGTGGATCCAAATTCATATTAATATCGATGTTACTAAATTAGGGGCCACCGCGTTTATCATTTCGTTTTTGCTACTCCCGTGCAGCGCTCATTTGATACGCCAGGGTACCGCGGATAATGTTGTTGACCCACTCAGAGAGGATCTTATTGCTTTTATGTCTCAGCATACCGAGATGCTATGACAAAGAATATAAAGACTCAAATACTTCACAAATCTTATGAAAAAAAATACAAAAATAAAAACAAAAAACGAGCGAGATTGCATGAGAGGAAACGAAGATCTGGTACAAATTTCCCTAAAACAGTCAAATATAAATCTCCTAGTTGTTCAAAGCTTAACAACTTGACAGGCTAACGGTTTTATTTAGTGGTGGTATAAACAGGTTACAACCGAACTCTGTCAGGCTACTCATTCACTTCACTCACTGTCCATCGCGGAATTGATGATAGCTTACAGCATTAAAAGCATAGCACTGGTAATTTGTGATCGAAGGTCGGTAGATTTATACATCTAAAAATTTTCAATACTAATATCAAATTCCTAAAGGTATCCGGACACTAACTTAATTCAATGTACATTTCACAGCTGATTTCATTTTTTTAAAGGGAAAATAACAATTTACTTGATAAGAGTTTATAAGTACGAGACTTATTGTGGCGTAGACGTGATTAGCGGGTTGTTGATTTTACTTCTTTGAACTCCAGTCCATATATTTTCTTAATTTTTCTTCAATGACTACCGTGTACCATCGTCCCATATATAAAGTGTAAAAGGTGAATGTGTGAAGGACCTTCTCGCTGCAAAATGTTAATGCTTCTCGTAAATGTTATCTGTAAAACAAAATTGTTTGTTTAAAACGCGATTGGAGTATGTCGAATAGCCTCTTCCAGGCGTTCAGACTGTGGGGGCGACTCTCCGAGAGATGCGAGTAAGAAAAGGGCGAAGGGGTCGGGTAGGGAGTAATGCGTATTTTCCCGACCCACCCTACTACCAAGAAGGCCAACTACTGGGAGTCGAACAAAGGACGGCCGGCCGAGACTATTAATACGAAGGTCAGTGGAAAAGTAGACTTAATCTTCTATAAGCTTAACCTATTTCCGATTTTTCTTGTTAATAAAGTAAACAAAAAAAAAACAAACAGAAAAATTGTCATTTGTAGGATCATGAAGAATTTTTTTACAATCACAGCGGCCGGTGTCACGCAATGCGAATTCAGCATCGATATGCAAATTCAATACGCAAGTCGAATCCTTCAATTCTGAATCGCATTATGCCAAGAGTTTTATTTCATAACTTGACAAAATAGCTCTTAATCTCTAACTAAAACATGTTTTTAGGTCTAGTTTAGGTGCCACTTTTGAGAATTTTGTCAAGTTTTTGAGGCATTTATTCGTGCATTTTGCGGTTAGTGAAATAAAGACGACCAGTTTTTGCTGATTAGAGAAAGACAATGCCTAAATGGTATTGGAACAGTAAAAAGAAGTAATATGCTTCCAAATGAGTGCGAACAGTCTAGGATTTGATGACCCGAAGTACTTATAAACGATCGTTAAAAAACCTGTAAAACGGCATCTAAAATTTGCATATTTTAGCCGCTAACGGTCGTCCAGCAATGAAATGCTGGGAATGGCAGTAAAATTAGCAAATTCCTCATTCTAACTGCAATTTCGTTATTAGGATGGATAGTAGTGTTGATGATAAAAATATAAGGCAAAAGTTTTTCGAGTGCGAAATCGAGTGGAACGCTTTTAGAGAGACTGCCTCCTAATACGGCTCCGCCATCGGCCAGCTTTAAAACGGCGTTTAGCAGCAGCATGTCTGCGGAAAATTGCTTTAAATAAATTCTTATGATAATCAGGGAGTCACATGACATTGCGTCGTTTAAGCGATCTCTTAAAGCTCACATGGTGTAGGGCTTGTAAATTCTGTAAATAGCCATAATTTTAGATTCTACTTTTAGCCAATTTGTTGATCTATTTATAGTAACTATTTTAATGGTAGTAATGTATACTTTTACATTTTTTTTAATTTTGGACACACGTACACGTTTTAACGTCATCTTTGCAATTGGTGAACCAGGGTGTTATGTGTCTCAATAAAGGATTTGCAATTGAATTTGATTTGATTTTATTTTGCTTTCATTTGTGTGTCTGCCGAATTGGGGCAGTTTTCGACAAGGAAGCAAACAATACCGGTTCGATTCACGGTTGAGAAGATTTTTTTTCATATTTGTTTTTTATTAGCTTTTTTCCTCTTTATTTCTCCTGCCTCGCGAGGTTTTGTGTTACTCGTTTCTAGATTTAAGACAGGAGCACTCAACGACGAATACTGAAAACACCCTTTAGGTTATCCAGAGTACTCTTAGATCTCTAGAAATGCATTCTAAGCAGCGCTGTAAAATTTGTGTCTGTTCGGTCATCCTAAAGGGACTTCGGCCTTTTCGAAGTTACAAGGGCCTCAGTATTATTTTCCCGAAAACTTGTACAGGTAATAGCATGATTTGTAGTGATATTTGGCATAAATATCACGAGTGATATTTCAAAATTGTTATACGTAACGTTGAGACAATTTTGAAATATCACAAGTGGTCTTTATGCCAAACATTTCAGTTGAGAGAGGATTCTTCCCCTCTAAATTAAAGCATGCTGGAATTATCCCCATTTTCATGGTGATGAAACTGACCCCAGTAATTATCGGCCTATTTCTCTTCTTTCAGTCTTCAATAGAATCTTTGAAAAGATTATGTATGATCGTCTAAAACAATTTTTAAACAAACATAGTATATTTTACATTTATCAATATGGTTTTCGTGAAAGATTTCAACGCAACATGCCATCTTAGACATTGTAAATAGAATTCAAAGAAACATGGACAAGGGCATGTTTTCATGAGGGGTTGTCATCGATCTGCAAAAGGCATTTGCTGCAGTTGATTATCATATCCTACTTCATAAGCTGTCTCATTACGGAATTCGTGGTGTAATCAATAAATGGTTCTGTTCATACTTAAATGGAAGAACCCAAACCACTCATGTCGGTTCCTATATTTCTAAAAGAGAGAAAACCTCTTGTGGTGTGCCATAGGGTTCTGTTTTGGGCCCTCTACTGTTTCTGATTTTTATTAATGACATTTACACGGCTTCACACAAACTAGGATTTCACTTATTTGCTGACGATACAAATTTGCTGTATGCTGATATGAATTTAAAATCACTTGAATCTGTTGTAAATGTAGAACTACTTAATGTCTGTGACTGACTAAGCGCTAACAAACTATCCATAAAATATAAAGAACACTTATTTCGTTATCTTTCACCCATATCAAAAACGTTTATATTATGAAGTTAAACTTACGACATATGAGAACCAAATAAATAGATTGATAAGTATATAACGTAAGTCATATGTTAAGTACCTAGGGGTCCTGATGGATAGTAATCTTTGTTGGAAATATCATATCAGCCACATATATAGCGTCTAACATTAGTAGTAATATCGGTATAATAGCCAGGCTAAGGCATTTCACTCCCTTTGTAACTTTGCTTAATATATATAGATCCCTGATTTCTACATCTATCTCTTATGGCCTTATTGCCTGGGGACAGGCAGCCAAAACACATCCAAACAAGATATTACTAATTCAAAAACGGGTTGTCCGTTTGATGAATTTTGCAAAGCTGAGTGTTCACGCTGTTCCACTTTAATTCTCTACCAATATTTTGCCTTTACCCTTACTCTACTTTAAAAATTACTCTATCTTAATGCATGATGTCTATAACAAAGTCTTGCCATCTTACATTTCTACTCTTTTTACCCCCACTAAAGATGTTCATCATTACAACACCCGTTCTTCTTCTTGGTGATGTCTATATAAACTACTCTCGACTAAATCCGGCACTATAAGGACTCTTTTTCCATTATGGGCGCAAATATTTGGAACAGTGTATTCCAGATGTTATGAAACAGCTCCCAAGATATAGACTCAAGAAAAAAATAACTGACTCCTTATTTCAAATCTTCTTAAAACAGGATTCTTATCTTGATATAGATACGTTAATAAATGAAATGAAAAGAATTTAAACTTTTCTTTTGTAAATAAAAAGGATTTTAATTGTTCTTGTTTCTATTTATCTACAAGTTTTCTACCCTCCTTTAGCCGCTTGTAATTATTGTATTTTGAATACATTATAAATTAATTGTAATTAATCGCGTCTGTAATTTCGTAATTATTGAATATCTTGTATCTTTATGTCATAAGAATAACATATTTTGAATTCATTATTGTCATTAATCTCTGTAATTCCGTAACTATTGTATATCTTTATTTCATTAGAATAATATTGTATATTGGGTAATAGACACGTCTCCATACTACCTGCCTCTATTAGCGCCGCTATTTTGCAGGTAGTCTGTATTTGTAATTTATTTATTGTGAATGTAAAAAAATAAAAGCTTGAGTGTGGTAATATCACGTACAAATCATGCTATTATTCGTTTCTACTACTACCTATAAAAGGTTTGTAATTTTCACATGCAGGCATTTCAAATTAAGCTGAAATACCACTGCTCTAAGCAAATGAAATTACAGAAATTTTTCATGTAGTAGTATAATAGATGTAATTTGTATAGGTAATAGCATGAATTGTAGTGATATTTGGCATAAATACCACTAGTGATATTTCGAAATTGTTATACGTAATTTCACGAGTCTTAAGGCGAGTGAAATTTGAGACGATTTTGAAATATCATGAGTGGTATTTATGCCAAGTATTACGTACAAATTATGCTATTATTTGTTTTTACTACTACCCGCAAAAAGGTTTGTAATTTTCACATGTAGGTATTTCAAAGTAAGCTGAAATACCACTGCTCTAAGTCAATCAAATTGCAAAAATTTCTCATGTAGCAGTATAAAACTTATAACGGAAGTGAGAATTTTTCTGATTCCTCTCTCCATCACATCGTTTAATCCCGCCAATATTTTAGGTTTCCTTTTTCTAAGAAAAATAACCTAACTTAGGGAGAGAAATGTGAAAATTAAACTTCAGAAAATCGTAGGCAATTGTTTTTTGATTTTGTTAAAGGCAAGCTAATTGTACATAAATGCATATTCCAATCCAAAGGGCTAATTAACAAGTTTCACTCTCTATGGAAACCTCTCCTGTGCTTACTATAAGTTTTAATTATATAATCACCATGGCTCTTTTGTGTAAAGTAGTGTAATTTATTTAATTATTTATTCAATGTTTTGTTTTGTAATACTTTTTAATGTTTGCAATAACGTGTTGAAGCATTAAACAAAAACAAACAAAAAAAATCGTAGGCAATTTACTAGATAAGCTTCGAAAATGGTACATGCATTGAACCGTCACGTAGAAATTTTTAGCCGTCCTCAAGTTAAAGAAAATTTTGGTCAATGTTTACTTCTCCGAACAGATATTTTACAGAATACTGTCATTGGGTGTCCTGTTCATGTTAAGATTAAACTTACTCGAAATGACGTTAATACTGAAACCATGCTTGCGTTCCAAGGGTGATCCAACCGCAAAAGCGTGACATTCGTACCTTCCCAATTGACCATACGTACTATCTTCCTCTAGCGTTACATTCCGTATGTGCATCGTGACAAAGAGCTTCTTTATCTTCTTTCCATCTGTGGAAGTGTTGGGACTCTTAGTAGGTTACATAATTATATGCACATCGTCGAATAGCTTCAATACTTGCATGTTTGTCATTGTCTTATTTCAGAGTAAGGTATATAAGAAACTTGACAGATTCCTAACAGTGTAATAGCAATACGCCATTTCCGAGTTGCTCCAAGCCTCTGTCTCAAAGCGAGACTAACTGCGAAGTCATTGATTTCGGAAAATGATTTTTCATTCTCGTGCAAATAAAACTCATTTTCACAAGGTTTTGTTCTTAGCCTCGTTTGGAACGTGAGAGTTTATGGAACGCGGAAATGGCCAATTTAAAGATACGTGTTCCCCTCATGACTAAGGAATGCTGGGTAAAACCTGATGATTGCTAAGACAACGTGCTATCTTTGGTTGACGGAAGACGGTGACGTTGGAACGAAGGCTAATTTAGATCACTAATGTAAAGCGCGCTTTCTCATCGTGTAATAGCGGTCTAATATCAAATATAAAATGGGATACTCAGTTGCAATACTTAGAGTCACTTTTAGATTTTATTTTTATAAGACATCGGCTTACCCTTGTCCACTTCCTCTGTTCGGTTTGTGAAATATAAGTTTTCATCAGCAGTTAAGAATGTATAACGCGCATACCGGTCCTTCCTCACGAACAGTATCTTTTCAGGGGTTTTTATTCCGGATGAATCAAAGGCTACACAGGTAACCTGGACAGAAGTGAACTCAACTGGATAGATAT